GCTAATATAGCACTGTGAGGCTAACAGCTATAAAAACCTTGTGCGTGTTGGGTCGCTTGCTGTCGAGCTCTGAGCTGCTGTTGTTCATGATGGTCCAACGGTCGTTCAGCATCATCCTGAAACACAAACAGAGTCTGAAGTTACTGCTAGAACCTCCTCAGTGACCACGTAAACCTCCTGACCTCTTTAGAACCTTTTGTAATGGTCCCTAGACCCTCAACTAGGACCATTAATATTGACTCCTAGAACCTCCCCTTTGAGTCCCCTTGTACTGGTCCAGTTGCTGCTGTAAACCCAGGAATATCTAGAACCTTCCCAAAGACCCCCACAGCTCCTCAGTGCCCTCCACAACCTACACAAGAACCTTCTCAAAACTCTACAATGACCCAAACATGAACCTGGTGAACCTCTTCGCTGACCTATAGAATCTCCTGAGAACCCAGACACTGAAAGAAGGATCTAATCCACAACCTGTGGAACCATCCCTGTGATCCTGTGACCTTCTTAAACACTAACAGAACCTCCTCAATGACTCAAAGAAAATTATTCATGGAACCATGTTCCCCCCTAAAGAAACCGCTAGAACTGTTTGTTTTGATGAAAATAGCCATTCATCTGATGAGAAGTGTACCAGGGTGATGTGGAACTTGATTTTAAGGCTGTTTGATAGATCTCCAGAACCTCTGAGTTGACCACAGACTTCTAAAACCTCAAGGTTATCTAGAACATCCATGAAGACCTCTAGAACAGTGCGTTAGTCTTATAGAACCTCATCGGGTTCATTAAAATCTGATCAGTATAATCTAGAACCTTCCTAAAGACTTTTAGAACAGCCTTGACAGCCACACATCCTTTGTGGAACCCTCTCTACAGGGATCCTCGGCGACCTCTTGGATCTGAGTATGGATGTTCTTCACTTCATTAGAACCTTCCTATAGAACCTGAGTGGCTGCATCACAAACAGAGCTTGAGACCTGATGGTTGAGCTCTCTTCCTAAACCTGAGCAGGTGGTTGGTCGGTTCTCTCTGAGGTTCTGTCAGCTTCACTTAAATCGGACTTAAAGTTCCTCGTCGTGACAGAAACAGTCCTTGTCTCACTGTGAATACACTTTGATTTCTGTTCTCTGACTGGTGGCGTTCTCTTTAGAACCCACTGACTTCAGGAGCAGATCAACATCTGAACATGTTGGTTATTATTCTGAGAACATCAGTCGCACAGTGTTCTACGGGTTCGTTACCATGTTCTAAAGGTTCTTTAACTACTGTTCTGGGGTGTTCAGTTCCATCAGATCAGAGGTTCCTCTGCAAACACCAGATGGTATTTTCTGTTGCTTTGATCTAACAGGTTCTGACTCTGCTGTTCTGCATGAAGCTCGCTCACCGTCAGAACCTGTTCTATACATTCAGCACAGTTCTGTGGATGTGATCCGAACAAGTTTGTTCTCAGTGATTCAGGTTAAAGATTAAATTCACGTTACGCTGAAGCTGAATTATTGTTTTTACAACACACTGAACAAACTCAAACACCGATCAGTGATCAATAATCAGCAACTCACCTGATGTCCTCAGGCTCCGACACAACCCTCTGATGAGAAGAGTCACATGAAATAAACTTTATCGTCCGTGAGCTCGGAGACGTCTGCTGTGCTCAGATCGTCACGGAAACCTCAGAGACCATCTGCTAAGGGGGGGGGAAGCTGTGATAATCTGATTGGTTTAGAGCAGGTTTGTTTACTTCACTCACAACAACAACAACGACAGAGAGCACAAACATGTGGGTAGTTCATTATTGATTGAAACTGACCGTGCTGAAGCTCAGGACCTGGACCTGTGGAACGTGTCCCACTGAAGATGTGGAAGCACAAAACCAGTCGACGGAGTTGTTGGTGAGAAGCTGCTCTTCTCTGATCGGCTTCTTTAACGTCCCATCTGCTGAAAATCCATTTGATTGTGTTTCAGCTGAAGACGCTTCATTCAGTAATTCTACGTCAGCGAGTTAGCCTTTAGCTTTACCAGCCAGTGAGAAGCTACTACCTCACAGCTGGCTGACCAATACTGATTCAGCTCTGTATGCTTCCAGGCGAACCAATCAGAATGAGCAGCTGCCTCACAGTCCACCAGGTGTACTTACCTCCTACAGCTGCTTCTGCTAAACCCTGAGCAGACTCTACGTCCTGAGGAAGCTCAGGTCCTTGTCCATGTTTCACCAGGAGGCTGGGGAGGCAGCAGCAGACTGAACAACCTGAGGGGTAGGAAACCTACCCCTGCCCAGAGCAACAACCCTGAACAGCACAGAGCATCCTCGGCTCTCTGCTCTGGTACAGGCTTTGTTTGCTCTGTTTTTCAATGTGCACACTTTGTACAGTTCGTTTGTTTTTGAATAGTATTTAGCTTTAGCCCTTTAGGGCTAGGGCTAGGGTTAACCCTAACCCTTCTTATTGTGATTTAGTGTTTTCTTTTCTGCTGCTGTATCAAAATAATTTCCCAGGTCTGGGATAAATAAAGTATTTCTGTTCTATTCTAAAAAAAAATAAGAGTGAACACAAGAGTGTTCATGCAGGAAGCGAACAGCCAGTGGATTAATGATGGGCCCCACAACTACAGGAGAATCCCGAGTGTTACCACATTTTGTGGCTATTGTCAGCATTAGCCACACCAATAGGCTAATTCTTAGGGTTAGCGTGTGTACGCATCCACACCAGGCAGGTGGTGAAGTGTCTTGCCCAAGGACACAACAACCATGAAACAGGTTACAGGGCGGAATCGAACCGCCGACCTTCCGATCATCGCCGACTCGCTCTACCACCTGAGCCACAGCCGCCCC